CAAATTTGATTTAAAAAAATATTACACAAATCACACAAAGAGACAACAGTATCAATGCAGAGATGTCAAAAAGTCTTATAGTAGGACTGTTTCTATAGATCAAAGGATCAACATGGGAGAGAATCTGTATAGGTGCATGGAATCTGGAGAAAGCTTCAGCAACAGCAGTTCCCTGACTTCCCATAAAATAAATCATAAAGTTGAGAAACCATATAAATGTATGGAATGTGGAAAGAGTTTTAATCAAAGGAGTAACTTGATTTCCCATAAAAGGATCCACAGCAAGGAAAAACCATATAAATGTACAGAGTGTGGGAAGAGCTTCAGAAAAAGCAGTTACCTTACTTGTCATAAAAGGATCCACACTGGGGAGAAGCCTTATAAATGCATGGAGTGTGGGAAGAGCTTCAGCAAGAAGAGTTCCCTTACGTCTCATGAAATAATCCACACAGAGGAGAAGCCATATAAATGTATAGAATGTGGAGAAAGTTTCAGCAACAGCAGTTCCCTGGCTTCTCATAAAATAATCCACACAGAAGAGAAACCTTATGAATGTATGGAGTGTGGAAAGAGCTTTAGGTGGAGTAGTCAGCTTATTTCCCATAAAAGGATTCACACAGGAGAGAAACCATATCACTGCACAGAGTGTGGAAAGAGCTTCAGGTGGAGTGGTGATTTCACATCTCATAAAAGAATCCATACAGGAGAGAAGCCATATAAGTGTGTGGAATGCGGGAAAATATTTCGAAAAAGTGGTTCCCTTACTTCCCATAAAAGTATCCATACCGGAGAGAAACCATATAAATGCATGGAGTGTGGAAAGAGCTTTACTCAGAATGGTAAACTTACTTCTCATAAAAGGGTCCACACAGGGGAGAAACCATATAAATGTATGGAGTGTGGAAAAAGCTTTAGTCAGAGCAGCCACCTGATTTCCCATAAGAGGAGCCACTCAGGAGAGAAACCATATAAATGTATGGAATGCGGAAGGAGCTTCATGTGGAACAGTCAACTTACATGTCACAGAAGTGTTCACACAGGGGAGAAACCATATAAATGTGTTGTGTGTGGGAAGAGTTTTAGTGACATCAGTCATCTTACTTCTCATCAAAGAATTCATACAGGGGAGAAACCATATAAATGTGTAGAATGTGAAAAATGCTTCAGCAACAGTAGTTCCCTTTCTTACCACAGAAGGATCCATACAGGAGAGAAACCTTATAAATGTGTGGAATGTGGAAAATGTTTTAGTCAAAGCAGCAGTCTGATTTCCCATAAAAGGATTCACACAGGGGAGAAACCATATAAATGCACTGAATGTGGGAAGGGTTTCCGTGAAAATGGGTCCCTTCGTTCCCATAAATTGATTCACACAGGGGAGAAACCATATGAATGTATGGAGTGTGGAAAGAGCTTCAGTCAGAGCAGTTCTCTTACTTCCCATAAAAAGATTCACACAGGTGAGAAACCATATAATCCATAGAGTGGGGGAGGATTTCAGCTGAATTCCGTATAAAGATCCACTCATGATGTACTTGATTCTATTCATCTATACCCTACCTTCAAATTCTCAGCTATAGAACTATGCTTTCTCTGATTCTTGAATTCTCAGGACCTGTGTTTTGGCTTAGAAGGGGCAACCACATAAAACCATAAATATATTGATTTGTATTTTTTGGTTCAAATATCTTTATTGCATCTCTTATGTCATGTAGAGTCCATTTGATAGTACCAATGGACATGTATGAAAATATAATGTACAAGACATGCTCAAAGCAGACCATAAAGGCAGAAGGGTTTGTTTATGGAAGTGACAGAAGAGGGTCGCAACCCTGACCAGTACATGTTCTAAAGTCATGTGCTGTTGAGAGGATGTAGTTTGGCTGAGTCATTTTGGGGTACATAAAAAGGTTCATCTCATCTGGAGAAGCTGTTTGGAGGAATCCTCCTAATGCCCATTGTTTCTGCGTCTTCATTCTGTGACAGTTTGTACCAGGGAAAGCAAGTATCATAAATGGACCATGAAACCCCATGTAACTTTTATGGTTACAGTAAAGTGTTCAATAAAGGTGATCTATATTGTGTGTTTGTGTTTTGTTAGATATTGAGGGTGGAATATTCTGCACAAGAGTTGGAGCTTCTGAAGGAAGGGCAGGATATAAATTGGAGGGAGGGAGGGAGGGAGGGAGAACAATCACCAATAACAGCCATCTTACATCTGATTTCTGCTTTTCAGTATATTTTTCCAGAGAGTTAAAGAGTGCATCTTTCTTGTATGTTGGCTTCCTTTACAGCGAAGACACTGGCATATCAATTGAAGGAAAAGGACTTTTTACAAGAAGAAATTATTAAGAGAATGCTCTGAAATACAAGTGTGACCACCTATACCTGATGTCCATCTGTAGGCCCTGGTTGGATTTTGCAAGTTTGACAATGGTGCCCTGAAATCCCACATCCAAGGCCTTTAAACATCAAGCATTCAAAATTTGAGAGTTTCTTGCCTCTTGCTGTGGGTTCCACCCTGTCCCACAGCCAACCATCTTCTCTGGCCAGAAAAAGGCAGAAATGAATCCCAGGAACATTTACTGTATTTCTTCTGCTATGGCTTGAAGGCAGCAGGTGAAAAGGTGACCTTGTGAAAAGCATCACATGGAAAGTCTATCACAGTCCTCCAGAAGAACAGCCCTGGAGAACAGCTCAGAACAGTAATGGAACCTCCCAGTGGGGCCCTTGAAGCCAAATCAGATTATCTTCCCTATTAATAATAATAATAAAGGGCAATGATGAGAAAATATTTCACCGATGGGAGGAATGACAGAATTTGCACTGAGTCCATTCTGTCTACAACATCTTTTTCTGCAAATTTTTTTTCGTAAAAAAAAAATCTGGGGGGAGGGGGACAAGAGGGAACTGGAATTTATCTTCTATATCCTAAAGGGAGCCTTTTGCCAATCTCTGCTCTGTAATGCCACGCACAGGCACAACCCAACATGGAAATCATAGTTTATGAGCTGCATTATGGTTTGCTTGGGTCTTCACAAGTTGTGTGAACCAAAGTTTAGGATCTGCCTGGGAGAGTTGAGTTGACATGCTACAAAATTCTCAGAAATGGCCATGCAGGCAAACAAATCTCTCTCGTCAATGAACGAGTAGCCCAAATGAGAGGAATATGGAACATTGATCAAAAATAAAATTAGGTTTTGGAACATAAAAATACTAGTTGTGCCTTAAACTTTGCTGGGGGCAGTGAGTGTTCCAGGTTTTGGCCCATCCCTTAAATCAGTGTTGTCCAAACTTCGCCACTTTAAGATGAGTGGACTTCAATTCCCAGCCATGCTGGCTGGGGAATTCTAGGAG